GCTAGAGGTCAAACTGTGTTCCCTGGAGAGTCATCAACGTGTGCCACCCCTATACCAAGTGACCATTGGGGGAAAATCCCAAATCATTTCCTCCTTTTCATTTTCAATGAACTTCTGCCCCTTCAATTCAAGAATGATAACAATTCTTGAATAAAGGCTAGACCTGATATTTGGAATCATCCTTTCACAACCCTTCCTCTGTGCCACCAGATGGCATCCAAAGCTCGCCATGACCTAGCGGAAGTTTCCTTTGATGAAATTCCGCTGGAACGGGGTTCAAATTCCCACGATGAAGACATCTTTTCCGATCTGTCGGCCCGTATCCCCAGCCTACAACCGCTGTCATCGGGCGCCAGAGCAGCCACTAGGGCGGAGCGAAAGATGTCGCTGCTCACCGGTTGTCAACTTTACCCAAAGGCAATCTTATGGTCAATTGTCCTCTCGTCAACGATCATTATGGAAGGCTACGACACCACACTTCTCGTCAGTTTCTTTACATTCCCGGTCTTCAATCGGAAATATGGAGCCCCAGACCCATCCCATCCGGGAAACTTTGAAATGTCCTCCAAGTGGCAATCGGGCCTGACCTCTGCAGCTGTGGTAGGCCAAATCATCGGGTTATTCATGAACGGCTTCCTCGCGGACCGGTTCGGCTATCGTCGGACAATACTGACGGCGTTGATCTCTTTGTGTTGCTTTATATTCCTGCCTTTCTTCGCCGTGAATGTCCAGATGTTATTAGCTGGCCAGGTTTTATGCGGAATTCCATGGGGAATATTTCAGACCTTGGCCACAACGTATGCAGCAGAGGTGATGCCAGTCGCACTTCGGGCATATATTCTGAGCAGCATGAACATTTGTTGGTTGATTGGGCAGCTCTGCGCTGTTGGAGTAGTTCGCAGCCAAGCAGGCAATGAAACGGAGTGGGCATATCGTATGCCACTTGCCTTACAGTGGGTCTTGGCCGTTCCGATTATAATCGGAGTTTATTTCGCACCCGAGTCCCCAGGTATGAGGTGTCCCCTAACTCAATTATTCTGCCAGTTATCCGAATCTTACACTACCATTAGGGTGGCTGATTCGCAAGGAGCGACCCGAGGAGGCTAGAAGGACATTACTACGCCTTACCACAGCACACGACGCTTTCAACGTTGACGAGGTGGTAGCGATGATGACACATACCAATGAGACGGAAAAACATCTGGGCAACGGTCGAATTACATACTTGGACTGCTTTAAAGGGATTAATCTCCGACGCACGGAGATTGCCTGCATGATCTGGATTACACAGCAAGCTTCCTTCTCCAGCTCGGGGACTTACGCAGCATATTTCTATCAACAAGCCGGTCTCAGCGTTCAAAATTCCTTCACCCTTGCTGTCGGTATGTACGGCATAGCTATAGTTGGCGCGATCCTGTCGTGGTTCTGGATGAGGCGAGCTGGGCGCCGTAGGATCTACCTCATTGGCCTCACGGTCTCAATGGTTATTCTCACGGTTGCAGGTGGTATTGGATGCCTACCTACAACAAATACCCAGTCATGGGCTCTTGGCGGCCTTGTTACCTTCCTATCATTCATCTACAACCTCAGCATTGGGCCTATATGTTATGTCCTTGTTGCAGAGATCCCTTGCACGCGGCTGCGCATCAAGACTGTTATCCTCGCCCGTATTGTTTATAATATGGCTTCTATCGCGACCAATGTCATTACCCCACGAATGCTGAATCCCACAGCCTGGGATTGGAAGGGTAAGTCGTGCTTCTTCTTTCTGGGATTTAGCGCCGTGTGTTTCATTTGGTGCTACCTGCGACTCCCGGAGACATTTGGGTTAAGTTACTTGGAGATTGATATCTTGTTTGAAAAGAGGGCTAAAACTAGCAAGTTCCGGGAGCTTCAACGGCACCTGGCAAATAGAGGATACTTCAGCGTGCCGGATGGGGGTCAAAAGCAGCCCACCATGTGGTGATGGGGAGTGTTATTTATTTTCCTTGATACATATGCATATTATGATATGATGATCTATTTACAGATACTAGTCATATGTTCTTACCCACTGCCCCACTTCAATTTGACCCGGCAACCAACCCATGGTTTTATTTTTCTCCCTACACCACACACACTGCTTCGAATCCAATGAAAATAGGACCAAAAAATAGCAAATCGGCGCAGCTTTCTACTAAGCAAAGAGCAGCTATTATATACGCCTACAATAATGGAGCTACGTAGGTTCAATTAGCTAATGATTTTGGCTGTACCCGTAAGACTATTTTCAATACAATCAAGCGCTATTCAGAGGATGAAAAATTGGGAAATCGTGAGAAATCTAGCCGTCCCCCTATACTTACTAAACGAGCCTATTATTATCTTCTTTTATAGGCCCGCCGGCATCCGTTTTAGACCTATAAGCAGCTAAGTACTACTATAGCTTAGTATCTATCACCCTCTACTATACGTCGAATTTTAAAGCGATTCGGACTTAAAAAACGACGATCGAGACAGAAGATACTAATTAAGCCTCCTCTTATAAAAAAGAGGCTTAAATTCGCGAGAAAATGGCGCTAGGAAAGCTTTCAATTATAGATCTTTTCGGACGAGTATTCGGTATAACGAACCTCGAACTTTAGATTACAATAGTACTTCCGTACGACCTTAGAGGGTCTTCGAAAGGAATTTGTAAATACAAAGGTTTATATTAAAGATATTTCACAAATGATTTAGGCTAGAATCTGGCTTAGTAGTCGAATAAAATTAGTTATTATAGAATAGGACGAAGACTTACCTTCGGGGCGAGGTTATACTATAAATTCGTATATCGAAGCGCTTAAAAAAGGTCTATTACTAATCTATACCCCCGGTATAGTATTTCAGCAAGATAACGTAAAGATTCATATAGCATTGGTGATACGAGAGTGGTTTGAAGCTTATAGAATATATGTTGAGGACTGGCCTATATACTCACCTGATTTAAACCCAATTGAACCGGTATGGCACTGGTTAAAAGTGAAGCTTTTTGCATTATTTCTAGAGCTTATTAGTATAGGAAGAAGCGAGACTGACTGGCTTTATTTTAAACAATGCCTAGTAAAAGTATGGGATATATTAGATTAGTCGAAGATAGATGCATTAATATTGAGTATAGGAAGACGTATGAAGGCAGTACGGCGGGCTAAGGGGTATTATACAAAATATTAAGCGAGAAATTCATTGTGCGGATATTAAGCTTACTCATATTTTTATTTAAATTAATTAAACCAATAAATGGTGGTGTAGTGTAGTATGTAGTAGATATATATATTTGGTGAGGGAAGCCAGAAAAGCGGAGTGGGTAAGAACATATGGTAGGTGATGTAGTTCCTACACTTACTTTACTTAATCATCTAGATATTGCCCAATATAGGATGCGAAAGAGTGATATAGAAAACCATTGCCCTAACTTTCCTATTAAGTCTGACAGACGGAAACTTGACCACCCTGCTCTTAGTGCCAAAATCTTCGGACGACATTGATGCTTTCCGAGGGACTTGATCTAACCAGCGAAGTGAATTGGAGGCAATTGCAAGATGAATTTGATGGTAGAGGATAGCTGGATGAAAGGGTAATCTCAACAGTGTTTGACGTTCCGTGAGGCGGAACGTCCTATCTGTCCCACTGCTTCCCTTTCGTCCGGCAGATCATTAAATCCCCCAATCCCTTCTCACTCGTCTTTAATATTATTGTCCGAGCGAGGCTCCCATCCGGCTTCGGCCATCTCAAACGACTCAAACGAGAAGGCCGGTGCAACCGTGCAACCAACTAAGGTCCACGGCCCTAGGCTTCGGGCATGCTGCCACTCTTGGCGCTCAACAACCTTTTGAGGCCGTTGGCCCTGTATAGAAATTAAGCATTGTCAAGTGGCCATGACATACACACAATAAAGAAATAACTCACTGCTACAAAATCAAGCCCTAGAATCGTGTCCCGGATGGGTGTTCCATCATTCCAGGATAGTGAGAGTTGCATGGGGGCGCCGGCGTAGTAATGCCATACCTCGGCACCATCGAGAACACGGTGCCATTGCGAGAGACCACTTTTTCCCTCGAGAAGGTAATAAATGCAGGTGCTATGTGAGCGATCGTTTGATGAATTGCGGTCGCGGAAGGTCTCGACGTAGTATCCCTTTTCTGGATGTGGGGAAAGATTCAATATCTTGATAATCTCTTGTGCGGATTGATTGTTCGCCATGCTGGGAAAAGGGTGGAGTGAAGATGTGATTGAGGTTAAGTAAAAGTGGGAAAGAGATGACAATCAAAATATATTTTACCCTTGATGAGTCACTAGGTTACGATATTAATAGTCTGCATTGCTTCTATCAGCAAATCATATCTCATCGTGGTAATACATCAGCTTACTTTCTATCCACGCCAAGATGTCAGACTTACATAGTTTCGATAGCTCAATATCTTGAAACAATTATTTTTAACAACCTTTGCCTGCGCCTACGTACAGCACTTGGTATTATGATCTCTTTGTCAGACACTCAACATCAGGTATGGGCAACATATATCATGGACATTAATAAAGTTGACCGTCATTGATCTAATGCAAGAAATATTTTGTCAATTAAACGGCAAATTGTGGGTTCAAAATCTTTTGATATTAAGCATATAATTTTCAGCCAATACAAGAAGCAGATAGCCCTTCGCTGTAGCATATATTGGCCCTGGGTTCCCCGGCTACATTTAAATTTCCCACAGCACCTTGCTCAAGACGAAATATGGCATGGTCCACAAGCGTATACGTCCCAGGAACCACAATTTTCATATTAACAACCGTAGAACCGCCCGGGGGAATACTAACGGTCTGAACAATCTGTCCAGGGGGACTAACAACGTCGCCATCGCGATAAACATTCTCAAAGTTGCTCCCAATGACATGAAACGAACTCGTAAGGTTTGGCCCCGCATTCCCAAAAAATATGCGGACTCTCTCATCCACGGAAGCTTTGAGGGGCTTATCTCTCGTTAACGCGGCCTCATGTCCATTTGAAGACAACGACACTTGGCTCTTCTCGAACCGCATTTGGATACGAAAACTTCATTTTTAAATGACGGTTTTCCATCGTCCTTGATTTCCAGTGCCTCGTGATAAAAATCGCTCTGCATCACATAGTACTCGCGATCTACTGTAGCGAGATCCCCTTCGGCTGGTTGCACATACATGAGCCCATACACGCCGTTGGCAATATGCACTGGTACCGATGCAGCTGCAAAATGGTACATATAAAGACCTGGGCAATGGAGCTGAAACCTTGCGGTCTTGGTCTGGCCTTCTTCTGCCGTTGTCAATGCAGAACCCCCTCTCGGTCCCAGAATTGCATGATAGTCGATGTTGTGCGGGTTTCCGGTTTCGTCACGGTTCGTCAACGACAGTTCAACCACATCGCGGACTCGAGCGCGGATGAACGGGCCAGGAACAGTGCCATTGAAAATTCCATTGTTCATACTTGTATTGACTAGTCAATTGTTTCACCTTGGTGGAAGTTGTGAACGGCACTTCGAGGAGAATATAATAGTTTCGAGTGATCGATGGAGGGACATTTGGTGCAGATGTGAGCACTGCTTTCTCTTTCGGGAGGTTTGAAATGTTTGTGCATCGTTATTCGGAGGTATCGCAAGGACTCGAGTGTAATTGCAATGCTTCATTCGCTTGAGGCACCAGGATTGGGTCTGACCTCTTGCTTTCTCGGTCTTGGGCCGAGTCCATCCTGAGTGTGCCCTAGTGTCGAAAGTCTTCGAGTACACTGAACACAAGTAATACAGATAGAGCAAGAAAATATATTGATGAGATGTATCCTACATGACTGTTTTCTCTAGTTTTGGATTGTCCTGTCGAGATATACCTGGTCTGTCTGATTCCGGCTTGAAAAAGGTGCGTAGAATGGGGCATATAACGAAGGACGGAATAACTTTTTCTTTCTTAGAGCGCGGTGTTGCCTGGCTACCACCAGATTTGGGAGGAAATTCGACATCATACGCGATAAATTTACCCCTCTTTGCATGATTGACTGACGAAGCCCGACGGATACTAGTAGTAATGATCATTGTTATATATATCACATTGACATGATGCAATAGTTGCCACAAGCAGCGCGGTGAGTTGTCTAAAAGCGCTTATCACGAGGGTCTTACGTGCGTATCCTACAATCAAATCGCCGAGGTCGACTTTGAATCCGTGGTAATTCGGTACTAGATGCTCATTTTTTACCGTATGACCATTTACTTGAAAGTTTTAAATTTAATTGTATTCATCTATAATTATCCAGTAGTAACAATATTTATCTTGCTTCAGTCTTCAGTCTTGCCTCCAGATTAGAATCTCTGTACCGTCCAGTTTTCCTATCGGATGATGTGAAACATTTCTTCATTTAATCTACAATGGCAGGTTATATATGATCACAGCGGGGCTTGGCTTTAGGGCTAAATTTATAAGCTAAGACGGTTGGACCTATTGCTCTGTCAAAGCCGTCTCTTTGAGATCCAGTGCTCCTAGTAGACATAATGAATTGACTTTACCATAGCAAGGAACCTAATACTTTATCCTTATCTTCCTTTGCTAGAAAATAATCTATATGCAGTTTTATAGCCTCGCTACATGATATACGCTACCCCTAAGATAAAAAAAAAAAAAAAAACAAATACAGATTTAGATGGAAGCATAGATAGAGAGGGAGAGACGCAGAGAGACAGTGGCATATTGAGGGAGATGGCGGAGATGGATGCGGAGATGGATGGAAAGATGGATGGAAAATCGATGGAAAATCTATGGAAAATGGATGGAAAGATGGATGGAAAGATGATATGTCACATAGAGTAATATTCCTACTCCCACTTCCGCGCTTTATAATATAATCCAGTTGAATTATCTAGAGCATACCGAGTATAGGTTAGCCATGTATCGTATGGATGCACTCCTTATGTAGATCATACTGTGTCCATCATAGGGCTGCTGTTCTATGTCACGTAGCATATCCGTGGGGGTGTTTTCGATGGTCTGCATTGGTATAATCCCTATAGAAATAGAAAGTAAGCTAATGAACAGAAACAGCGAGCTGAGACATACTTTGCTTGGAATTATTTCTTGACATATATTTCCAAAGAGTGCATAAAGGTTGGATCAAAGCGACGAGGAGTGCGATGATTGCGATAATAGCTTCGACGGAAAGACTCATTGTGTCGGGAAGCATATAGAGAAAACAAGACGGAGAAGCTTGCAAATAAATATATAGTGACAAGTGAAAAGGCTTAAGAGGAGGAGAATGAGAAGAATCGGAATCGATGTCTTTAAAGTAGAAAGCAGAGTATATAGTGTATATTTTTATGTTCCGTCACAACTATAAAACTAAGCTCCGAATACCTGAAGGGGCTGTGTAGACACTATGTGGTATGCCGTACTATGCAACTATGCAGGTTAGCCTACAGTAGCCAGGACAGGTGGAGCCTCTGTCGTAACCAGGAACTAGATCTGGCGAATCCCAATTAGACTATAAAGCCTTGTTCTTTTAGGTAGTTTACCACTTACAGGCGATTTAGATAATACTCCAGCCCCTTACTAGTGAACAATACGACCAAAAGCATGGTATCTGATAAAAAAGATTTTTTTTCAGCCCCTGTTGTTCGCTGATACGTTTCAACTCTTGTGAACGTTGGGAGCAGAAAAGTATTTATTCCTAAGTAGAGATCTAAGATATTCAGGAGTTTCCCTCAGCCATTCTCTCCCTCTCAGCCATTCGCTTAATTCAACCTGTGGCTTCTTTCCCACCTTGCCTTTTCATACACTAATTAAGATACACGCAGCCTAATTTTGACATAGGGAGTCTAAAGAATGGGACTTGAACAGCGCCATTCGAGTCGACCCAGTCAAAGCGACCGGATGGTATTGCCAACTAAACATCCTTGGGATCTTAAGTTCCCTTCGGTTTCTTGAACTAGTTGAACAGGGTGCCGCTCAAAAGGCTGTGTGGACAGATACCTACATAAATAGAAGCACGATGCTGATTATGAGTATGTTCTATCTTGGTAGTCCCTATTGACCTCCATGCAGTCATCTACAAGACAGAGAAACATATTAATACACCGCCTAACACTCAATATCCTTTAGCGGCTGTTGACTTCGGCACAAGTCCCGGATCCAACAATCCAACCTGCACAAGCACACCAGCCTGATCCCAATAAATACTCTGGCGTGTAATCTGACTGGCACTGAAGCTTGCCACCACAACGACAATTACCTTGAGCTCCTGATCAGTTGGTAAAACGCCAGGTAACAACCATGGAATCTCAGCAGTATGTCGACAAGTGAACAACATCTCATCCACAATGCGATCCACACCTACAGTGCGCGACAAAAGACGGACATTCTGATCAACCGGTCCAGCAGGGATATACGCATGAGCGAAGAAATCCCTCAAGGTTGAAATATTAGAGCCTGCAATATACATATAAGTAAATCCTCGAACCAGATCGTAGATAAAATAGAAGTGAAAAAAAAAAAACTCACCTCCAGCGTCGGTAGGAATACACTTGACAAAAACCTCTCCAGCGGGACACCCCATCTCACCATAATGGCCATGACCAGTCAACATCGCAATTGCCGGCTCAAAGCCAGAACCTTCAAGATTCCGCTTCCGCAACTCCAGCTCACCAATCACATGACCCCAATACTCTTCCCAGACAGTCTCGATATCAGCAACAGGCCAGTGACTCCCGACATTAAACGAGCGACGCAGACATCCCAGCGCCCGACTCCACGCCAATTGCGAGCTGATCTCATCGTCGGCGTTCAAATGCAAATCCACCTCCCCTTCTTTCTCATCGGCAATTTCCCGCTCTGCAAACCCAGCTCTGGACCGCGGGTACGTGTACACGTAGCATCGATGTTTTTTCTTGTATGTGACGTCGCCTTCTGAGACACTAAGACCGATCCATGGCCACAGCGCGCAGGGCTGAACTCGTGGGCCTGGGATGTGAATTTGGATTGGGAGATATGTTGACTTAGAGGCTGGGCCGAATATTGAACTTGTGTCTGAGCAGCCTGGCACTTCGCAGTTTTCTTTTCCCCTGTAGGTGAATTGGTCTGTTGACGAGAGGGGATAATAGGCTATCAAGGCGCATAGGTGTGGGAATGGGTTTGTGTTGCTTGATACTGTGTGGTGTAGGGCTAGGAGGAGGTAGGCGGGTCGGTGATATGCTAGGGTATAAGATTAGTTGGGTGTCTGTTATATATTGCAAGGATGAGGTGTCTGTTTCGAATAGCGAAGCTTGTACATAAAAGACAAAGTCGAATAGAAGACGTACCGACTATCGCATACCGCTCTCCGTTCTCGAGTTCGTCTTCTTTCTCATGCACGGCATTCTCCAGCGCTTTTGCGTCCTTCTCTTCATTCCCGCTGCCGAGGAATGGGATATATATCACACCGAATCCTTCTGCCTGGAAGTGGTGGACTATGTGGGTATCGAACGCCACGGTGTCGGAGATCAGGAGTAGGCGTCGAGGTGCTGGCTCTTCATATCGCCGGCTGCGTTTACCGGAGCTCGTGCTCACTGTCCGATGTATTCCGTGCGGATGAGATGCTGCGGAGTTAGGACCTGTAGAATCTGCATTTATGTCTGCTGGGTTACTGCCGGAGCTTTGGGCTCGGCGTCGAGTGAGGCGTTGGAATACGTTGACCATGGTCTGAATTTAGGCTGATTGATTGACATTAGGAGGACATGTAGCCCTGTTTATTTGCAGAAATATCTGCTTGGAGTTCGGAATGCTCGGATTGCTGTTCTTGGTATTACATTGCCAATGCTTAGGGTTCTTGGGTGACGTCATCGAATACACCATTCTATATGGGCAGTTTGGTCTATTCCGAGGGAAGGATAAGGAAACAAGTAACCGGGAACCTCACCTAGCATGACCTGGCGTGCGGCTGTGGTCTCGATCAATTTTAACGGTAGAAGCAAATGTTCGAAACTTGAGTGTAGAGGTAAGGAAGGTGCTCATCCATGGGTTGAGGTTGCATTCGACTACTCCGTGGTTGGGTTGGAACCGAGTGGCACTTATTTCCAGCCAATAGGATGATCTGTCATTGGAACTTTAAAGTATCATTGCGGTCTAGGTATTGCTAGGTACTACATAAATTGGACAGCAAACCCAGTAATCTTTGTATTTGTTACCTGATAATTGCTGGAGTTAATTTTTCATATTACTAGCTAGATCCACGGTCTACCAGAACCATAATGAGCCTATCAATTAGGGATAGACCAACTACTTATATTTGTTGAAATCCTAGCAAGAACTGCCAATTTCATTTCCGCCAGTCTTGCAAAATGCCCCCCGAACATGACCCATCTTTATCTTGCGGCAAATATCTATCGCAAGGCTCTTTCTGCCCGGATACATGCAGTCATCTCTTGGACCAATCTTTCTCTACGCCATCGCCAACGGCTGCCAATGGACCCGCCATATCTTTCACTCTAACTCCATCCACTATTGTTATGAAACAGAAACCTCGGGTCAGATCAATTACTCGAGTAGGATCTCCCTCGAGTGCAACGGAATGGTGCCAACCCGGTCAAGATATGCCATCGAGAACGATTGTATCGACGGCAGACAAATGTTTTCTTAAAGCTTATGAGAATTCATTTGATCGGCTCCGGCTGATGAAACGACAATTGTCTCAAATGATTCTATGAACGATTTAATTATTGAACTAAGTGGTAAGCACAATCATGTTTTATGGGGGTGAATGTTCCCCAGGCAGGGATATGGAAAGTTAACGACTAAAATTAGGTGTACCTGCACAATATAAGAGGTTATTCCCTGCGCACGTAATGTGCGACGCCGGGGCTGTTTGGAAATAAAACAATCAGAGGGATAGGCTCGAAAGTCACGGAAGCGGGTGAATGACGAAGCGTTACAACGACATTCCGAGATTGGCAGGCTCCTGAAGCTTGAACGTAAGAACGCTAAAAAGGACCATCAAGATACTCCTGCTTAGTGGGTATATACGGAGGGAATTATCTATTTGAGAATTTTATGGCTGGAGATTTAAATGTTAATAAGTCGGGAAATCTGACTATCCAATAAATGGGTGTTATCTTCAAATTCTTTCTCGTTTTGATACTATTCGCATATGAACACATGTGATCCGGCATGTATTACGTGCCAGGTCGATCAATGAAGAAGGAGTGAATTCCAACTAGAATAACAAAGATAGAGAAGAGAGAGAGAGAGAGAGCAGGTGGGGGATCTCTGAGGTTCAAATAGTAGAGCCTCCTACGTACTGATTTTGATTGATTGGATCGTATTTGACGCCTTTGCAACGTTCCCCTCTTTAGGTCTAGAGCCCTTTCCTTCAACGGGGGGTGAGGATCCATGTGACTCTCTTCCTAGATAGCAGCTCTTTCTTGCCTTCCTATCCATGCCTTACGCTCATTACCATTGCTTCGTTTCCTCCCCTCTTAGATCCAATATGTCTACTGCTGTAGCTTGGATCCCCTGATCAATTGTATTTTAGAGATACATCAAACATTTTGTGATTTCAGCATGTTCTAGAGAAGACTAAAGTCTAATAACTTGGGTAGAAAATTGAAAGGTTTCATTTTGGATACCAAGCCACCAGGCGCTGTTTACACTACCTTTTGCATCCAAGTCAAGAGCGATTCATCAGAGTGGTACCTTGGCAAGGAGTCAAGTGAGTGAATTCTTTGTGCAGATACCATACGAGCACAAGTATTGGCAATCGAAAGTTCCCATGGCTACACAGCTTCGTGTATTAACATTCAGATAAAGCGTTTCACTGACAGCATTTCACGTAAAAAAAGTCTAGGTCGAATCAACGATTCAGTTGCCGAAATCTGCCCTTGACCCTGTTATCTTGGGATTAAGGAAAGGAGAAGTCGATACCAATTTATGAACGTAGATTTTCAATTAAATGGTACGTCTTTTGAACAAGAATTTAGCAGTAGGATCGACTACTGTCAGCGCGCATTCAGCATTGCGCATTAGGTGTCCAGGGGCGCCTTCAGCCAGTTTGAAATCGTAAATCTTTAAAAAGCGTGTCATGAGTACCTTGGCTTCATGGATCGCAAAAAAGCGGCCAGGACATGCCTGGGTGTCTAGTCCAAATACAAGGTAATCATTATCTGTACCGACAGCCTACCAAAAGTTAGTGGTCAATGACAGAAGCAGCAGATGGAAAATCAACATGATAGGTGCTTGGAACTTCCCATCCAACCCTGGTTCCCTACGCAGTTTCTCAAAACGGAATCCGTCAAATGTTTCTGGATTCTCAAGCATAGAGTGCTTTTTTGTGTTGTGTGTCTACTCCAATGAGAGCCCCAACGGGGATGTAAGTACCATCTGCCAGGGTAATGGGAGAAGTAACCTTGCGAATTGTGCCAGCTAAAGAGAGTCAGCACTGGGTTTAATTAAGAGATTTCCCGTACATACCAAGCATAAAAAGAGCGAATCTCTGGCATTCACTAACGAAAGAATCCATTTTTCGAAGCTTGGCAATGTTCAGTCTGTTCATCGGGACGTCGCCCGAGGCCAGGACCCTTTTACGAAGAGGGTCAATGTACCCTGGCCGAGATGCGAGATCATACATGAGATGTGTCACTGTCGAAGCGGTCGTGAACAAAGCGGCACGACTGGTCCCCACTTGGGCCATGATTTGGAAGCACACCTCTTTTCCTAGATCTCCCTTCACGGTATCCATGGTCAATTGAATCAAGTCGGCAGGCGGGCTAAAGTCGGGACTTTTCGCATCTTCCAGCCGCTTCTGAATAATGGGCTTGATGATTCTATAAGGTATGAGTTAGTAGTAGATACATAGTGATGCGACGGCCGTTGAATTGTATCTCACGTTTTATCATCCTTCCTGGCTTGACGAACTGCATGTAAATGGGGATCAATAAAGGGTCGAAAGAGAGGATGAGCAGGCCATAAATCTGGAACGCTGGCGAATGCACCTTGAGTAATCACAGTGATAATGTGGATCTTCAAAAAAATCTTGGCCAGTGGATGGATCGTGGTTCGTTTTATTCCGGGCCTGCCGATCTCTCGTCACGGCACAGTGGCTCTCCGAAAAAAACACGCTGAGAGACCATGATGGTCATCTTGACTACCATAGGTAAAAGCGCAATTTTTGTCCACTCTGCACATTCTCCAATCTGGGTTTTCATCGCCTGGGCGGTCTCATCGTCCACCACTGTATAAACCCTATCCAAAAGCCGACCGAGATGGCCGCGGAGTAAGCTGGCCGTAGCTTTCTCATGTCCGGTGATTCCTATATGATCACCGAGGAAAAGGTCGTAAGAGCCTTGCTGGAAACTCAACGTGGTATCGGTCGAGCTTTTGATCACATTCAAACATTGGTTTGGGATCATCACAATTTCACCCGGGAAATGTTTGATGCGGTAGGCACGGGGCGGATACTGATCAGATATCCATGGATGTTAGAGCAGACTAGCGTTTTTCCAGACTATAAATGGTCTCACTTCTGTTGATCCGCTGGCCAAAGCTTCGCGATAATCGCCGTTTTTGACTTCCACCAAGGGAGCATCAACTTTTGACTGGGCCCAGGAGTCGAGTCAGCTATGCGCAACGAAATGTGATGGACGTCTATTGAATGTCTGGGACAATTCATAATAGGCATAGAGTATCCTGGACAAAAGGAATTTGGTCAACGATGCTGTAGTGAAAGAAAATGAAGAAGATAATTTGTCGCTCTATAAGCTCGGAATGAACAGCAAGATAGGAGATGCCATATTGCTTTACTAGTCAATCAGAGATATTTTGGACGGAATTTTTCTAGCCTCTACTTTTGTGCTCATTTATCTTTGCTTTATATATATGCTACGCTAGTAATGCAATACTAGAACTATTAATGAAGTATTAAGAGCCTTCTTAAGATCTTTAGGAAATATAGTCTTAAACGCCAGGGAAAAGAAAAAATTTACGATAAGCTGAGATAAAAGCCCTAATTAGGTATTTATTACCCTAGAATAGGGGATATATAAAGGGACATATATCATATTGTTACCCCTTCTCGCCCCGTTCTTACCTCTATTACCTCGGCCTCTAGAATTCACCTATATTACCCACACTTACCCTAAGACAAAACATTTCGCTATTTTGATACTAGTAGCACACTAGATCTTCATTTGACAGATATTTCCTATTTTGATAATTGAAACGCTTGGATACTAATCTCAAACTCCCGAACATACTCATACTTCGCAAGTATGAACCGTTGCTTCTGATTGGTGGCCGTTCCGCCCCGGCTCGACCTTCCCTCTCAGTTTCGTCCACAATCTGACCTCTATAGCACTAAGTTCCCCGACCTTTGCACTCCGGGGGTTCTAGTATGAGAGGAAAAGAAAAATAATGTACAAAAAGGGAAGGTATTAAAACTCTATATCAAGATAGCACGAACCCTTAGTTCAGACATGTCAGAGACTGGCCCCTAGAATCGGATATAGCTTCGGAAACTTCATTCCCAGAAGGTAAAGATGTCAAATTTGAAGAACGAGTTGGACTTTTTGCCACTGTGTCGGGCAGTTCTTCATCATGCCCTTGAGGTTCAGACAATGTTTAGGATTTCTCTATATGCGTTCGACGAGCTAGATACTGCGTTTTCTTCACATATCGGAAATTCTTGTTGATTGTACCTTTGATTCGTGATCGTTCTTTTTGTTCATCCAATCCGCCATCCATCCATGCTGGCTTGGCCCGGTATCTGTGGCAGCGAACATGTCGCTCAGTGCATTCCCTACAGGAAGGCTTCTCCAGATCACACTTTGGATGTCGAACATGACATGTTCAGAATTCTGCAGCAGCCGACCGCATGGTTGTAAATTGTGGACTTCTAAGTAAAGAAGTGGAGGCAGTATGTAAAGCAGTATGTAAACTGGGGAAGAATTCACTTCAAAATAGGAAGTTCAGGCGACTCCTGATTAGGCAACCTTCCAACTAGTTGGCCGCCATTGTATCATGCCAAACCGACCTCCCTGAGCCCTAAATAGGAACTTTGGTTTTTGTTATGGGCTAGTGGAAATATGCCCTGCAAAATTCCCACTTATCAGATAGTGTCCACGGGTTCCGCAGGTTATCTCAAGTTACGTTATCTCAAAATTATCTAGGCTAGAGAATTGATACAATAAGAAAAAATCGTTTGTGACCACGCGCCTAGAAAAGTCCTGGGAGAAACACCGAAATTATTGTTCCAAATATACATGTATAAAGCAAGGTTGAATAAGAATGGGCGAAGGCTATGATAAGTTATAGTCCACTAGTATGTATTCACATTAAGATCTCAAATAGGGTGATGATACATAATCTGCGTGGCAGAATTTGTGGGTGATACTCAGTCCAAGACGATAAAGCTGGGAGAATTATCTGCAGTTATATAGTCGAACCGATATATTGACAATGCCATCACTACCCAGCACTACAGGAAAACGGTCTGCTTATGGAACCGGTTTGGAATGCAGACATCTGCCAAGTCAGTATAGTTACGACCATTTGTATCAAAAAGAGAGTAACTCACAACTCCAGTGATGCTTGCATACAGACCGCATCCGAGGATACAGATACCAACGAGGAATACCAGTAGGTTCAGAAATGCGTGTCGGATATTGTGCTTCTCGTGCCAGCTTCCTTCCTTCAAAAGGAAAAACCACATTATGGGAGGAACATAGAAGGAGAAACCAGAAACGAGCAGACAGCCACAAATAGCAAGTAGCTCAGAGAAGAATGGAATAGCCTCTGCGATGATCCATGCTATGATAGTAATTATGGCAACAATCGTCAACCAAGTTACCCATCCTTTCGTAGTGTTCACATAACGGACAACAGAATTTTGATACATCCGGCCGTGGATATAGCGACAGGCAACGGTTGTATTGATAGACCCCGAGATAAAGATCACCGGCAGGGCGATACCAAATGCAATCTTAGCGTAAAGGGGACCGGCAGATAGCAATGCTGGAGAGCTAACGTCCTGTCCGACGAATGCGTAAATAATTGCCGCAGTCAATGTATAGATAGTGACCTGCACTATCCCCAATGTAGATATAGACTTAGTGAAGTCTTCTGGTGTATGCATCTCATCCATGAATGACGGTTGAGAGGCTGCGAATGCGTAGGCGAAGGCAATATTCGAAATGGCAACAAAAGCTTTGCTCAAGTTCAAGTCGTTTTGAGGCCATGCCGACCACGGGCGGGTGGTTGAATCACCCTGCTGAACACCGGTTGCGATTATACAAACTCCAATGGCCACGATTATAGATCCGAAGTCGATGAAGCCAAGAATGGAAAGCTCGGCAAAAGATGGTGGTATAGCAAATGCAAAGAGGATCACTGCGGATACAGCACTGAAAATGAGAGCGCACGCTGTGTTGTCTGAGAGTGTGGCAAAGGCAAGCTTTCCTGTCAAGCAATGTGACCCGACTGTCAGGGTCATTAACGCGATAAAGGCCACACTAAATAGCTTGTCACCAAACCCTCCCAGTAACAGATGTCCAAAATCAACATAGTGAGCAACATGTGGATATTTGAGTTTTGTCAAGCCAACCATGTAGCTTGCATAAATGGCGATGAGACCCAGCCCGATGCACAAGATCACTCCGGCCACCATACCTAGCGTTGCGAAGGCTGCTGGAAGACTAAGACTACCCAAGGCGATTGATTGAACAATGAGAACAATTGTGAGACGCTTCCAACCAAGTCGATGAAAGTGCTCGTTGCCCTGGATCGCTCTTTCATGATCATGATATCGCTCTTTTTGACTAACAACTTCACCGCCGGATTGGTCATAGTCAATTATATCGTCTGTGCCCTTTTTGTCGGTAATGTTGGCATGGTTGGCACCAAGGGACATAGCGGTAGTTGAAGATGAAAATAAATCGCACCGGATATATATTTGAGAGTAGAGAAATTGATAACAGAGGCACGCAAAAGAAAAAAAAGGATTGAGATGTGGATGCGAATCCCACTGTCTTAACTGAAGATAAACCATCCTCCATACTGCTCTGTTCTCCGATAACATGTGTCCTAGTATAGTGATGAGCGCTGTGGAGCTCTCTGTAGAGCTCCGGGTAGCCTCGGGGGGAAAGTCGAGCCGGGCCAAGACCTGGGGAAGATAAACGGTAGAAGTTATGACAGTAAGTGCATGAATTGTTGAATCTTTTACTAACAGATATCTTGATGGCCACTATATCCTTATGATAAGTTAGTTTGCGCAGTAGTGCTTTTCTGTATAGGCTTAGAGCGTTGACCCTTGCCATCGGCTTCTCATAGGAGTGATGTTTGCACGAATATCATAGAAAAGAAATCAGATTTGGGTTCGACGACTCACTAGAATTTTTCTTGCCTCGCCCGGTTTGTAGATGATCCTGTCTTGAAACATAGTCACAACACCTGTAGCCATTAAAATACTATAACAATCGGTTAGACCGTAGACTTTGCAGTTTACAATGAACTCAGTCCTAGAAAAATTGTATCCAATAATATTTATATCAGGAGTTGAGCTGTGATAGGTCCTTGGATATGCTATATCAGGAGCGGACAAAAAGCTTAGAGAAACGTAAGTGCTAATCGGAAGCACTCTTGACGTTATTATATCGTATTAGACAGTGAAAAAAGATATCTGACCGTTTTTTTATAGATGTAGGCTGGCCAGAAGAAACAATTTCAGCATATAGAATGGTGGAGTATCCAAAAGAACTCTTGAGTCGTCCCATCGGTAACTTAGCCTCCTCGGACGAAGCATTTATTCAATCGGTCGTCTCATTTACATGCCAAGATTGCTCAAGTACGAAGATTATCTCATCTCTCGGAGAACACGAACACCCTCTACTGGGCCTGCAGCCATCAGTACCTCCTTAAAAACAGCCTCCTTTTGCAATTCTATCATCAAACCTCTCGCATGAGTTGCGTCTCTTGCTAAGAAGACGCACGTTGACCCCGAGCCACTCATGAGACTAGCAACAGCACCAGCAGACTTTCCAGCGCGTAAACCAATTTCAATATCTGGCAGCAGCTCTGTAGATGGGCCTTCGAGGTCGTTAACAAGCGCAGATAGCAGATCCTCCGGATGACGTGTCCCCCAAGGGACTTCAATGCAATTTCGCCGGTTTTTCATATAAATTTTCTCAGCAGACGGGGATGTAGGCAATATATGATCAAATCTCTCAAACACCGATTTCGTTGACAAACCCGCAGCAGGCACACCTAGAACCCAGTTCCATGTATAATTACTCGTCTGCAAGTTCACAAGTGGCTTCTTATGCCCCAATCCTAGAGCCATCATGCCTTTTATGAAAAACGGCACATCTTCCCCTATATTTGCGCCCAACGCCATAAGATCGTCGTCACAGACATTCGA